GTAAATTTCTCGGACATTCAGGCCGGTAAATGTCGTTAATACTGTTTATTATAAACAGAGCATTTACTTAAATATTTGTATCTATAAAAAAGAATAACCATTTAATTTCATAAAATAATTGTCGGGCATTGTTCATTTCATAATGTATAAAGAATTATGTTAATAATAAAGAAAGTACTTCATGGGATTACTAATAACAATATTACCAACTATAAACACATATCAAAAACATTGTATTACATCACCAAAGTTTCTTGAATGCATTCTTAAAGAATCTAACGTATTTTTATCTAAAACAAACGATATGTATATAAATACGTTCCCAAATCAAGAGGCAAAAATCATCAAAACTCAAATCTACTAGACACACAGACACACGCAGACACACACGAATATACGTTATCATCGGAATCCCTTACAGAAAAATTAAACTTATTATACACAAAGGGATATTTACGATTTTATATTTAGGCTTGGAATCCATTAATTTCTAGGAACTTTCAATGGATGCGTCTCCTTTCGTTGATTTCGGGTCAACATAAATGATACTAGCGCTTGTTTAACAAGACGAATGCACGTGAAACATTATTAACCAATGAAAATCAAACAAGACAAACGTAAAAATACCAGCATTTCTTTCTTCTTGTCTCCATATTTCATTCTCTAATGAATCTTAAAGAAAAATGAAACATGTTAGATTGATAAACGTTAGTTATTTGCACTTTATCTTATCATTCTGTCAGATTCCCATACATATATGTTCTGTATGTAATCCCAAATATATATATATATATATATATATATATATATATATATATCAGACAAACAGTTTGTCTGATAATAGCAAAAGCTTAAAACCCAGATTCACAAACTCATATCCATACAACTGAATATGTTAGCCCCATCACTGATATTCAGCACTTTCCAATAAGTACTGCTCATATAAAATAATATATATATATATATATGTGTGTGTGTGTGTGTGTGTGTTGAAAACTAATATTATATATATATATATATATATATATATATATATATATATATATATATATATGTATATTGACCACTAATATTATATATATATATATCAGGATTGCGTGTATGGAAATATAAAAACTGACACTGAAGTCAACACCCAAATGTGACAGTCTATTTCTGCTAAAA